AAAGGGCATCGCTACTAGGAACAAGAAGCTACTAGGGGCTCCTGACCTTACTACTAGGAACAATGACGCTACTAGGAGCAAAGGGCATCGCTACTAATAGGCACAAGAAGCTACTGGGGCTCCTGGCCATACTACTCGGAACAAGGACGCTACTAGGAGCAAAGGGCATCGCTACTAGGCACAAGAAGCTACTAGGGGCTCCTGGCCTTTCTGCTAGGAACAAGGACGCTACTAGGAGCAAAGGGCATCACTACTAGGAACAAGAAGCTACTAGGGGCTCCTGGCCTTACTACTAGGAACAAGGACGCTACTAGGAGCAAAGGGCGCAAGCACGCGCGCACGCCCGCGCACAACCACAAAGCCAAACATAAGCACAACACGTCCTGCCGGCCACTAGCCCGTCAGGGATCCCACCAGTGGCCCGACATGACAGCCAAAGATCATCGACAACACACAAAACATAACCACAACACACAACACCTGAATGCTCAAGAACAAACACTACAACAGGCAGCAGACAATAACACAAACACACTCACACACGCAACGGCAACACCAAAAACAACAACACGTATTTGACAACAATCCAGGACCAACAGGACAGGAGACCACAAGCAACGACGGACATAATGACAAGGTGACTCGCCAGTCACTCGGACCCAGTGATCCTACGGGTGTACCTGGTTGGGTGGGGCCAACTCGAAGTAAAGTAATTCATAATCCTGCAAGTCCCACCTGTCAGGTGAGGGTCTCTAGATGTCTCTAGATTTTTTGTCAGCACATGTCAATGTTTGCCTCCTACCAGTTTCCACTTATGGGTTTGGACGGCAGAGTGGGGCGGGCCGGGCTTTTCGGGTTCGGATGGCCGAAGTGCACACATATCAGAGCAAATGCCGGAAGATATATATATATATGTATAAAATATATATGTCAGAACAGATGTCAGAACACATGGCAGAACCACAGCTCAAAACAATGTCGGAACATGTTACGCGTCAGAGCATATGTCCCAACAAATGGATACAAATTGCTAATGTTGATGCCAGAACAAGTGTCAGAACACAAAAGGCAGAACCAAAGTCGGACATATTATGTCACAACTTGAGCATATATATGCCAGGTTTGATGCGAGAGCACGTGTTAGAAGTACATGCCCCAGGATCTTATGTTACAGCACAGAACTTTGTGCCAGTGCACAGGCCAGAAGAATGCTAGACAGAAGTTGAAAGAACATACACAAGTTGATAGAACACATGTTAGAGGCGTGCAACATTGTGCAAAGGTTTTGTGGTCAGTTTTGGGTAGGTGGGGACCACCCGAAGTAATACCTGTGTGCGTTCTCCAAGTCTACACATGATAATAAAATGTAAAGAGCCAAAAGAAGATACACATTCTGACGCAGGCCTGTTTTGCTCATTACCCTTCACGTTGTACATTGTGCCCACCAGCCTTCAAATGTACTTGACACAAGGCATTCAAATTGAGCCTCAATGCTTGACGGTGAGTTGACGTTGAACATGGGGCCACAAGAATAAATAGAACATAAAACACACACACACACACAGATGTCGCATGGTCTCAAGTGGTTTTTGTTTCTTGTTATTCAACGTTGGTTGACCCCATTTTGCAGGAATCTCATTTGGAGATCTTGGGCCCACGGCTTCAAATTTTTGATGGCCCTGGCGGAGGACGCATCACCCACAAGGACACATTCCACATTTGTCCTGTTTGCTCAACAGCAGGCATGTATATAAGGCCATATGGGGAATCATGTTGCTTCTACTTGGGCAAGCCGGATTGAAGGTTGCACAGGACCCATCAAAGTGCGCCGAATTCCTTGGTTGGAATTTGATCCCTGAATGAGTTCTCAAAACTTTTGGAATCAGCATCCTCCTGCACCGTGACCTCCTGAAAGGTTCCAAAGACAATGGACAATTTGCAGAGTTGTCTAGCAAACCCACCTTTAAATCTTCGTCTCCCCGTTTAGACCGATTGCTCCGCAACGTCAGGACATATCCATTGAATTCAAGAATAAGAACGTGCCGTGGTTATTTTTCAGATGTAATGCCAGTACCCTCAGGTTTATTTCAGGCTCTTCATGACCTTCATTTGCAGATGTTGTTGTATCATAATTATCTCTAGCCTCTGGTAGATCACATGAATATATAATCGTTGCTCCTACTCGGCGATGTGATGACAGTTATTTCTCCCCAAAGCATGTGGACGGCGACCGTCAAGTGCTTCGAACAGTATAGTTTCGACCTGGTGACCCTTCAAAAGGAGAAGCACACCTTTATAGTTCAAGTAGAACACCATGTGGCCAAGCGGTGGGCATGGGGCTAGGAAGACCCACTCCACGAGAGAGAGAGAGAGGGAGCGTAAGAGTGATGGCCTCCAAACTAAAAAAAACAGAACAAAGGAGCAATAGGCTTCCATTGACACGCCAGTTCTGCCCATTCTTAGACGATGGCCTCGAAAATTGTTTGTTGGGACAGGCTGTGAACACACCACGCAATTTTTCGCAAATAGAATGTATGTGGTGGTGTTGTTGTTGCTGGTAACAAGCAGGTTGTCAATAGCATTTTCGGGAGCATTTGCAAACACATCATTGATTCATGACTATGAAGGTAGAGCTTCCATGCAAGCGTTTAGTAGATCCTTCCTTTCCGACAGTTGCACAAACATTGAGAATCGATATCTCATGGTTTGAAACCACTGGAACCGGAAGAGATTAAATGGAGTAATGGCCAGGGATTTTTTTTGCTAGGATGTGTCTTTCTCGAGAATGTTTTTGTTGTTTCATTGTAGATTCTTGGCCCTTGGCCTTCCACTGAGCAGAAAAATCTTCCAAGGAAGGAATGAAGGAACCCAAGCCAGCCCTCCTGCAGTTTTCACAAACCATCCACCTGGGGCATTCTGACATTTGCTTTTTGTTTGCTGCAACAACTCGCATTTGCACCTGCCATGCCAATTCCTGCCTTTGTTTCTACTCCCGGAGCCAGCATTTACCTCAAGAGTCGTGGCTTTTCTTTGCTTTTGGATGGAGGCACTGCGTCCTCTCGCAACCCAATCCAGCTCTTTCAATCCAAACCTTCGAGCTTCAATTCAAACCCGAACCACCGCAAAAAAAAGGCAAGCAGCCTCACCCAAGCCCAAGCCATCAACATCAGGAATTGACAATTTTTCGCTGCAACAGCTAGCACCTCTTTATCCCAAAGATATTTCCGAAAAAAGCTGAAGCCAATCCAACTGTTGCCTTAGTGTCCTTTTTCTAATCCAGCCCAACATTCCTTCATTGTCCTTTTTCTCCTTGAGAAGTGCGTTTTGTTTCTATTTTTTTCAGTTGCTTGATTTTGGATGTAACACATTCTCCTGAATCTATTCTTTCGTTTGTCCCTTTTCTAACCCAATCCTGCAGCGAGTTCTTGCCCGACAAGAAAGGAACGACACCTATAATGACACACTCCTAAACTATATAATTATGAGCCTCAAGGAAACTATTTTGTATTGGTGTTGATACAGACATCCCCTATATAATTGTAACTTGTTTTGTGGATAGTTTCATCAGACGCTTCATACCCTTCCCGCTTCAAGTAAGTTACATGTGCTAGCTTGTAAATCAGCCCACGTCATTCATCTATTATATTATCGTATTCTATTTTTGTCCTAAATTTATCACCCCTGCTAACCCTGAGAGTTCACGAATCACGTGTGCTGTGTCAACTTAATACTACATTACCATCAAGATTTGTTCTGTCAGTGTCTGGCCATGTTGCGAACCCATCATGCAGACCCTATACCCAACCAACATCCCCTTAATGTGCGACGTTCTGCAGGTGTTCTCTTGGCTTCCTGCTGGCCAGAGCGCCGACGCAGTGATACATCGCCCAGACTTGGAACTCTCCATGACGTGGCTGGGCCAAAGCTGAAGAAAGTAGACTGTCCTAAACCATCCTAAACCGGGGGAGCAGAGGTAGTTGAAACTGATTGACGAGGTGAACATGTTGGGGTAATGTAGACAGAGACGCTTGGTCCTGGGGCAATGTAGACAGAGATTCTTGGCCCTGGCAGTCTTTCATTTATTCTGCCATTGCTTAAACTGCCAGTTCAAGGGCTGTCATCCACCCATCCTGATGTGTTGTCACGGCAAAGGTATGGAGGACAAAAGCGTCAGGGTCGTGGGCCACCTGGCATCTAATCATTTGTGAGAGTGTGTATTGTTATTTTCTCGTGACTCAACACCTAAACAGACAGAAACAAACGAATAATAATGACATATAAAATTAACCAAGATGTTCAAACAGATCGGAGCAGAACTTGATTTTCTCGTCATTTGTGCGGCTTCTCATTTGCGCGAAGATGACATGAACAGGGTATGGATTTCCAGCCAGGTACTCCAAGAGATACTTTGGCCACTATGGTCCACATTGGGGTTACCGCTTCATCCAGAGCAGTTGGCTTGGTGGTGACAAGTTTTTGTGGACTGGCCGGCCATACATACAATTCAGAGGTGTTCACTTCAGCACGTGTATTCATCAAGGCAACATACGCACAAGGTATGCTGGACTTTCGACGCATGTGTGAACAAGGCAGTTGCAAGAATAGTCCTGTGGCGGATCAATATATATATATATTGCAACATCAATGGAACATAGAGTGATGATCAATTTTGCATTGTCATTTTAGCCCCTTCAACTAGAATGAGAGGGCATGCACAATCAGATCGCCATACTTTCATAATCTGATCTGGGACTGTTCTTCTTTTGACTGCCACAATCTTTGCGGAAGGACAGCTGATGCCACTTTCCGCTTGGGCGAAGGAGAGGCCCGCCTGGGACTTCACGGATGTACCAGCTTCCTGGGTCGATCATAGGTACACACCCAACCAGTGTTGCTTGTAGGTGGCCCATGTCGTTGTACAATTTTTGTGCGCAGGCAGTGTTTGCCATCTGTTTTTTGGCCCTCTCTCCACCGATAAGTGGCCCGAATCCCTTGAGCATTGCCTGACACATACTTTGCCAATGTTTGCTACCAAATGGGTGTGCTTTGGAGAGTTCTTTGCTTATTGTGCTGTCACTTGTATGGTATTTTGACTGCAGTAGATAAATCCAAAGGCCTGTACTCAGAGTTGTCCAGAAGTTGATAGAAGGCAAAATACAACTACTTCAAGCTTTTGGACGGCAACAGTGGCGAACTGATCCAAGCAGACAGCCGTGACACGTACCAGCAGGTGGGCCCGTGAGACGCATGGAAAGGGCTGATACAGGCCTCTTGATGGGTTAAGGATGGTCAAGGTGAGGCAACAACCAACCTCAGAGCGATGGCCTCCAACCTCAGAGCGATGGCCCCCAGCCTAAGAGCGATGGCCTCTAACCTGCTTTGCTAGCGATGGCCTCCAACCCAAGAGCGATGGCCTTCAACCTACTAGCTAGCAATGGCATCCAGAATCCAACCTAATAATTAGCGATGGCCTCCAACCTAAGCGATGGCCTCCAACCTAACAGCGATGGCCTCCAACCTACTAGCAATGGCATCCAACCTAATAATTA